TTAGGGTATTAGGGCTTTTAGGGTTTAGGGTATTAGGGTTTAAGGGCTTCGGGGTTTAGGGTATAACGGTTTAGGCACGGGAAGCTTCGGAGGGTTTGAGCCACCAGGGTTAGATCTTCAGTTTCCTGCTCAAACACATCTAAGGTACGGCGCACTGCGGCAAACTCGCACATAAGGACCACTGTGTGTGGAGCTATGTTAAGGCTTGAGGCTTTACTTTCACACAGGTGCCGGTCGGCCCCCGAAAAGGCTGGGAGCAAAGCCGGCATGGCTGAAGTAGATTGTATCCTGGCATTTTCCAAAGGCAGAGATCTTCTTTCAGTGAAGTCCTCCCCCTAGCCCCTCGGAGGAGGCCCCGAAATAAAGTCTCTATTCTGGTCTTTGGGCCGTTAAAGATGGATGATGCAAGGTTTAGGTTTGGGTGCGGGGTTCTGGGTTTGGGATATTGGGCAGTTTAGACTTAAGGGAATTGTAGAGTTTTGCATGCCTCGCAGTTTAGGGATTTCGGGCAGAGGGAGGTCAAACTCGCCCAAAGCCCTGAACTCGATCAGTTTCCAGATCGCCCACCCCAACTCCACACTTCAAAGGACGGTCAGTGACGGCGACCATCCCGATGCAAACGACAACGTCTACCAAGACCACCTCTCCTGCTGCTACTATCTAGTGTGTTGCTGCTAACGCTAAAGACGGCGACGACGACGCCTTTTCCGTGATTTACTACTACTACGACGACGACTGCTACGACTACTGCTCGCACGACCACTACCACGAGTACGACGACGCCGACGACGACAGCTACGGCTGAAGCTGAAACTACTAAGACCACTGTCACTGGTACTCCCAAGCTGCTCCAACTCCACCTCTCCCCCCTGCTGCCAGTGCAAAGCATCCGACCTTCAACCAAAAAGGCTAAGCCCCCTGAAGAGCCTGACGCCTACGACGCCTAAACCGTGGACACTAAACACTAGCCCCAAGGCCCGAGAATAATGAATGCCAGTGCCGCGAAGTCGGAGAAGTCAGGTTGGGCTCCTTTGAGAAAGCAGTCGTTTTAGGCCTTTCCGGGTCTGGGAAAGGACTCAAAAGAAGTGGAGGTTCGAGGAGGTGTCTGCTTGGGTGGTAGAGGAAGTCTTTCGGCTCCTTGTCGTAGTATCTAAGCTGCATCTGGCTACAACGCTGTGCTGCATTGCAGTGACAGGACTTGCGCCATTGTGCTTGAGAGGTTTGGCTTGGCTGGATTTCTGTCGTGGGTGGGGACAGCGGCTTAGAAGAAATTTCTGCACGAAACACGGCACTGAAGTGTAGTCTGGGTTACTTAAGGGATTTTGTCGATTCAGCCGTGGCGGTCCTGCAAAGCGCACCCACAGCAGCACCAGGAACCACGATCGCATGATGCGGATCATGTGCTGAACTGTGGTGATGCAAGGCCACGTGAGTCACAGGCAACATGCTCGATATAACGCATGGGCTGGTTCAAGTTGCCCGGCATTGTGCTGCCAACATGCCTCCAAAGGTGAACTACAACCACGAATATAAAGGATTTGATCCAGAGGCCGTTCTGGAAACTCCCAGAACCCCATAGAATCTGGCGATGGGATGCGGATGCCCATTTGCTGGCGAAAGCCTATGCTGAATGCTGCCTGAGCCTGAAGCGCGCGAGACCTCCTCAGCCAACATCCGTGTGAACTCCGGTACACGTTCGATCTCACTCAGTGAATCATGGCCCCAGTTTTCAGAGACAAACATACCATAGCCAGAAACACGTCGACATGAAGGAAGGAAAGTTCACGGTCGGAAGAGCTAGGACAGCGGTCCTGGTCAGGCAGAGGTTAGATCTCGAATGATGCTGCCCCAAAAAGTAACACTCCTGTGAAACCAATCTGCTGTTGTTGTTGTTGGTGGCGGCGGTGGTACCATTCCTCTGATGAAGGCTGTTATAAGAAGTCTAACTAAAAATATGTATACTCGTCATTGTCATTATTGTTGACTTAGCTATTTCGAAGCCACTGAGACCTGGTCTTTCCAACTCTTGCGGCTTCGGTATAGGATTTAAGGCTATAGGGTTTAGCTGCATCACCTTCCGACTCCTCGCAGGGGCGCCGATACGTGGGGACTATCGTTGCGAAGTATCTGGCAGCTACTTGGCAACTAGGTGACCCTGGAAGGAGGCCCCTGGGCATGTCTACTACATGTCTTCATACGAGCTGTCTTTTAAGTTCTATGTGCAAAACCCTAAACCCTCACGAATGCAAAGTTGACTCAGTCTTCATGCTGCCACCCTAATGGACGTCTTGACTAGAAGGGTGTGTGGGGAAAAACTGCTTGGACTATCTATCTATCTATCTATCTATCTATCTAATTATCTATCTATCGATCTATCTATCTATCTATCCATCTATCTATCTATCTATCTATCTATCTATCTATATATGTATACATATGTATACACATGTGTGTACGTATGTATGTATGCAGGTATGTATGCATGTCGAGTTAAGTATGTGTGTATTATATATACATATACATACATACACACAGACACACACACACACACCTGCAGGCTAATTATTCAACAACTTTCTTTTGTAGACCTCAAATGGAGCCTCCTTGCCCCTCTGAGGATCCGCGCAAGGGCTTCGGTAGCGGAGCCCTGAAAGCTCGGTTGCGCTTATGTCGGTGGTTCGGGCTATTGGCGTTTCTAGGCTTTAGGGTTTAAGCCGTAGGGTGGTCATGGTGTCTGAGTATGGAGCTATTGCTCGCACCTGAGGGGTGTTCCTGTGTTGTTCTTCTTTTTGCAGGATTGTGTGGTGTTTGTTCGGCAGCCTCGGGCTCTTTGTAGCTTAGACAGCACAAACATTAGCACAATCGTAGTGCTACAGTGACAATTTCTTCTGGGTTTTGGTGGTGTATGCAGGGCGAACCAAACGTTTGCCCGAAGTTTCGTGGGCGATGCATAGGCGAACTAGAAGGTCCATAGCTTCAGGTCTTTGGGGTTCTGCTTAATTTTGTACTTTGTTGTGTAGGGTTTGGAGTTTTGGGTCTTGGATCAGTGTTTTCAACGCGGAGTCTACGTAGTGTGCCCTTCTAGCGTCAGACCCTGGGCTTCCAAATGCTTGGGGACAGCATGTTCTCTAGCGTGGCTGACGAGTGTCTGTTGACGGAACCCTAAACTCTAAACGGCTCTAGTCTAGGCTGCGGCTTCAGGATTTTTCGCATATCATGCAGAAGGCTCTCCTCGAAACAAAATGACTCAACAACCAGATTGCTTTGTACCATTGCTCAACGGTCTTAGACTGAGATTTAGGGTGTATAGGCTTAGCTTAGGATCTAGGCAAGTAGTACAAAGACCGTTTGAGTATGAGTAGGCAAGCATCATGATTCGCAATTCGGGTCAAGCTTAAGCTTTCGCACTTTTTTGCCTCGCTTTGATCTCAAAGTGCCGATCCTGAACCCTACCTAAACCCCCAAAAGTAGGTAAGATAATGGCCCAAAACCGCCAATGTTCTACATACTTTTGGGGGGTTCAGGTACCCTAAACCCTAAACCGTAAACCCTAAACCCCTAAACCCCTAAACCCTAAACCCCGAACTTCCTGAGGCCTCCTCCCGCAGCTTCTCCAAACCCACGCTTCCGCACAAGGCCGCCAGCGCGGCGGCCTGTGCCATCTGACTGGTTCTTAGTAGGGAATGGAGGAATGGGTTATTGGGACTAGTATAGGGGACCTTAAAAGGCTATCATAGGGATCCATTCCCCCATTCCCTACTAATAACCAGTCAGCCGTCAGTGTCTTTGGGGCCCGGAGAAGAACCGAAAACGGGTCTTGGGTTTCGGGTTTAGGGTGTTCGGGTTTTAGGTTTAGGGTTTAGGGGTTTTGGGTTTCGGATTTAGGGTGTTCGGGTTTTAGGGCTTCGATTCCGCAACTCGCACTAGAGAGGCTAGGATCCACACAAGTCTGGGAAAGACCAGACTCCAGCCAAGAACGGGTGCCCAGGGACCAACAACCAAGACACAAGCCCAAAAGGTACCAAAGCAATGCAGACCCATAATCCAAACAAGCAGTGCTGAGCACAGGCAGCAGAACAGCTTATCAGCAACTGTTTCAGAACAATATGACATGACCCAACAACCCAGCCCAACCAGTCCAAACTGTACCATTCCACCGAAAAAGAAAACCAACGACACATCACTCACCGGTAGTTTAGGGTTTTTGGGTGTGAGGTTCAGGAATTTAGGATTTTTCGTAGCGCTTGATGGCCCCCGAGACCAGCTAAGAAGCGAGCGGATATCAATGGGTTTCGGGTCTCGACTTTAGGGTTAAGGGTTTTTGTTCCCGCTTGGCTGAGAGGCCTTATGTAGGATTTAGGAATAGCTTCTTGCCTCCTTTGTGGCCACTAGCTGTCGGCACGTAGATATTTTAAAGAATTTTAACCAATAGATGCAAAGGGATACGTATCTATCTATATTCAGTACTTATTTATTCGTTCAAGTTGTGTGTATGTATAATCGTACTATGTATGAACTTATCTTGTCTATATTGCAATTATAAGTTGCAGTTACACTCATTTACACATGCATACACATACTGCTTGAGCTCTTGTGCCCTTGTATTGGCTACACAGCTGCAAGTCAAGAGGTCGAAACGCATTTTTTCCGTGGATTGCTTTGCAAGTCCAGATTCAGTGGCAGGAGAAACGGGTAGCACTGCACAAGCATGCTATCACGAACCTAGACCCAAGACCCTGAAACCAAAGGCCCGCAATCCGAAACCGTAACACAAAAAGCCTGAAAGCAAGTCTCCCGGACCCATTCTGGCTCTCGGAAGCGGCGGACTCTGATGCGTTTGGACTCACTTGTGCTCACTGGGGTGCATGAGAGGAGAGTGTCTCCATCCGGTGCAACGAGGACGCGTGCTTGTGCTGCTTCACCTGCTTGATATACTCCTCACGGGAAATGCGAAGTTGAGGTTGGTTACACAGGCCCCTCCATTAAAATCAGCAGCGTCAGGGCTGAAATGCAGTCATGCCCTAAAGGCTAAACTTATTTGATAAAACAAAAGCCGAGAGCAGGAGAGGTCCTTGACTTCCATCTTGGCCGTAGTGCGAATCTTCTTTGCTTCCTGAAGGGCCAACTCCGAAAGAGACTTTTTTACTGCCCCTCGGGTGCAGGCTTATGATGAGGGTGCATACAAAAGGATCTGAGGCTTGCTTTTCTCCCTCCTACATAGCAAGGAATAAGCCTGCATTGCAGGGTAGTTCGGGCAGACTGTGACATTGCTTTGGGGTTTAGGGTTGAGGCCGGTCATGGCTGCATGCGAAGTCTACAGCTCGAACAGAAACCCCAACCACCCAAAAAGGCGAGTGTCTATAGCGGTTTATGATGAATGTGTACAGGGTAACATAGGGTTTAGCATGGAGGTCCGAACATTTCGGGACATACACGGGTCAGGACTTCGCATCGGGGTACTTACATTTAGCTTTCCTCTTAAATAGGACTTAAGGCTTAGCGGTTTAAGGATGTACTGTTATTTAGGGGGCCTGGGGTTCAGGAGTTCAGCGATTAAGCTCGGAATTCATGTAGGAGGGCTGCAAGTTCCGGGCGTGGGGTCCATACGGTTGATGGTATAAATCCTGCATTACCCATAAGAAGGAATCTACCATAATTCCCATAGTTTAGGGTCCTTGGGGTAACGCGGGATTTATATCATCATCATCATCATCAAGAGTAGTTCGGCGACCAAAGCTCCTCCACTGCTGCCGTGGAGGAGAGAACGTTCACACCCGCCTCGCAGGGATGAGTTTGAGTGTGGTGGTACTTGGTACCCGGTAGCCCAAAACCATGGCCACAGATCGGGTGCCTGGGGCATACCTGGACCTCAAAAGTATGTAGAAAACAACGTTGTTTGTCAAAAGTATGTAGAAAACAACGTTGTTTGTTGGGTCTTGGGCCATAATGTAGTTTCTTTGGAGGGTTTAGGATGATTAGGCAGGTGTATAAAGTACAACAGATACCTGCTTGCGGCACGCTCCGGGTGCGGTGTAGTTACCCAGCCTTTTCTGGGTACTACAGGGTCTCAATGCATAGAAGCGTGGTCTTGGGGCACCAGTATAATAATGAAGTATTTTGTAGTATATTCGTATAGTGAATCATAGTACGCATTACAGCACATACAACGTCATCATGATAAGGAGCCGTCAGGAATGATGTTGGTAATCGTCCCGATTTCTATATTCTTTCCATGTCCGGACTCTTGAAGCACCTTCGACATGCATCGCACCATGCATAAATCCGAAAACCAACATATGGGCAGTTCTCAAAATTAAGGTCCCTTTGTGGCTCCCAAATATGGTGGTCCGGCACCCTTATATTGAAACGGACCCTAAGAGGGACCCTCGTCTAGAAAAGTAACCATATGCAAGCCTCATCGAAGTCCTATGCAAGCCCTAGACTAGAAGCCCAATTGACATAAGGCCTAAACTCTACCCCCTCCTGCAAAACATACAAGCCCAATAAAGCCTAAACCCTGCCCGCAGCCCACTGTACCGAGTCTGAACCTCAACAAGCCCTCGACCTCAAAACATAAAGTCGATTTCATGCCTTTTGCAAGACATCCTTGGTCGGACCAACCTGCGCCGCTGCTCGAATAGACAAGTTCAAGGCTGTAACTTCACAGCATGAATCCTTGAAACATACCGTTTCTCTTTAAGATCTAAGCTGTTTTGAATCTTAGGAGAATAGGGCTTCTTCGCACATCAAGCCTTGAAATATTGCTCTTTTTGTTGTGATCCGAGGAAAACTCCTTGGCTAAGGGGCGGAGTTCGCAGTGTCGGAGAGAACGTGTGGAGGCCAAAGTTGCAAACCCCCAGTTCCCCCCCGCCTCGCTGAAATAGGATTCAGGATTGGGATGCTGATGAAGGCCGGACGCCCTAAACCCTAAATCCTAAACCCTAAAGGCGCCGGCTTTGAAGGATAGAAAAGGAGGGCCCAACAGCTTGAGGTAGGGTTCCCCTATAGAGGATAAGTATTTCTTCCGGCGTTTACATTCGTCCAAATAATTAACTCTTGGGCCGCCCCCAAATCCCCCGGAGACGTGAAACCCACCAAGCTCTCATATAATAAAATGCCCCAAAAGCCTGACAACACCAAAGTAAACCGGAACCTCTGGACCTTAAGCCCCCAAGCCCTATAAGCTGAAAGCAGGCTTATGATTGAAAGAGTCGAAAAAGCCGTACAGAGCAAAGCTCGACCCGTCCAGGCCCGAAGTTGAAGCCTAGGAAAGCGCCCTAGGCTTGAGGCTTCTATCTTTCGGGAAGCAGGGCCGGTCCCTTCCAGAAGTGGTTCTACCATTTAGGGTTTCGTCTCACGCGCTCGCAACGCAGGCATGGCGGTGATGGTCTGGCTTTAGGGGTTTAGGGTTTCGACTCACAGACTCACACACTCGCTCACGCAGGCATGGCAGGTTCCGTCTCAGCTAGGGGTTTAGGGTTTCCAAACTACTGCCCTCTACTATACTACTAGTACTTACTTGGGGCCAGATACACTATTTAAGGCTCTACTAGGACCCTCACAAACAGCCCACTGCATGTTGGAGAGATCCGTAGCACCATTTCGGTATGTTCCTGAATCACAGATGTTATCAAACGCTTTCACGTCTCTAGTGCCCGAAGCCCCCCCCACCGCCACTCTCCAAAAGCGGTCAAACTCCGAATATACGTTACATGAACTCTGAAACCGATAAGCAACCCATAAAAATTGGGGGGGGGGGTTCGGTTCGGGGTCCCTAGACCCTTCAGCCACTTATGCCACTTAATTGGAAAGAGGGTGTCACGGCGGGCCTCACTCTCGGACAGGGGTCTGCACGCATCCTGGCTTCAGAGTTGACAGGGATCCTTCTAGACGTGTATCAGGATTCCTCTACTGATGCTATGAGAGCTCTGTGGGAGTTTAGGGTTTCGGGTTTGAGGCTCAGGTCATGCTTGTCCACGTTCAGGGAGGTTGCGATTATATAGAGCGGGTAGGCTGCATTAGCAAGGATGTTTAAGGTTCAGGGCTTTTGGGGTTTGGTTCAGGGTTTGTTTCAGTTGCAGCTTCCATCTTCTTAGGCTCATGGTGTCCACTGGGTAGGTAGTCAGGTCAAAAGTGCAGCCAGGAGGGAAACAGCTTCAGTTAAACGTCGCATCGGGAAATGAAAACCAGTCAGCGGTTTACGAAGTACTTTATGAGGAGAGGAAGCATTCTATACTACGTGCTATTGAGAGATAGATGAACTTCCCCATCTCGTGGAAACTTCCATGACAGCGAGAGGGAAAGGGAGAGAGAGAGAGAGAGAGTCCCACCTGAGAGGCCTGAAAGTTGAAAGCGCCAAAAAAAACGAAGCGACAAAGAGAGAAATGTCCTGAAACCTTTGACCTCGGCGCTAAAATCCCAAAGCCCCTAAATCCTAAACCCATGAACCCTAAAGCCGATCCGCTCTCAGCCAGGCAACCTCGATCACGGAGACTCGAAAGCCGAGCTCGGCGCCATGCAAAGCAGACGACTTCACCTGGGATCTAGAGGTATAGGCTTAGGGTTTAGCGTTTAGGTTTATTTTTACTTGGAGGATCAGAGGCATTTACATGTGGTCATCGGCTTGGGATCAAGTTGTCCGGGATTGCGAACAGCTTCTGTAAAGGTTTTATATAAGGGTTCTACAAGCTGCTATGACTGTCTTGACGTGGGTTTTTTTCCCTCTCGCATGGCTAAGGATCTATGCCCACAAGCGAGGTGATCTTGAGGATATGACAGACTGTGCACTAGGTGACGTGGGGTTAGGGTGTTGGGTTTAGGCTTTGGGGATTAGCGTTCGGGGGCTGTGGAGAAAGGGCTGTCTTTTCTGTTGTGTTTGCGGTTTGGCATTCAGGGTTTGAACCATAACCGGCAGGATGATAGTGGCTTCCTGGCTTTTGTGGAAAAGGAGGGATGGGGAAGAGGGTGCAGTTTGGGCGGCCTGCGAAAATGCTAATAAGTCATTAGGGCCTCATTAGGTGTGGCCCCGTAAATTATTCAAACCTGAAACCTGAAAGCCAAAAGCTAAGGAACCAACATATGAAGCCCGACGATCCTCCAGGAACGATCGCATATTCGACAGATGACACCCTATCAAAGTTGACGGACGATGAACCCTACATACGCTGGGGTCCTGGGCTCAGAATGAGCTCAGGGCCGCTACCTTTGTCCTGCTGAGGTCGCGCGGAACACAGCCTGGAACCTACGCTTGGTTGAGATCACACCAAAATGGTTCAATCATTAGTCAAGCGCCTGGACGGCTCCAGCACGAAACTGTCTAGGTTTCCCTGCGCCCCTCTCGTGGGAACGTAAACCCTCAACCAGCAAACTGTCTGGGATCTACACCCCTGAAGCCACCAAAACCCCCTACCGCCAAGCACCTAACCCTGGCTAGGGCACACCTTAAACACCCCAAGGAGCTGGCGGCAAAACTCAAAAGCGATCGGCAATGTCAACTAGAAGGTTTAGGTTTATAGGGTTCACGGCTCAATACCCTACCCTTAAATTACAGCTTAGGGTTTAAATTTTTAGGGGGTTATATGATATGAGGGTCTCGGTCAGCGTGCAGGGTGTAAGGGTTTAGGACTAGGGTGGAGGGTGTGCGGGCTTTGGTTTGCGTGCGAAGCTCGCTCGAGCAAGACTTCACGGATATATATATATATAGATGGATCCCCAAAGCCTGAATCAGGTGATTGAAGCCCAAGGCACGCAAATGTCGAAGACGAGTCCGCAACAGTAAACGTCTGTGACCTCTGAGATGGCTAATGGTAACAGGAACAAAGAGAAACGACAGTCATCTCACCGTGTAGATGTACGGATGTATGTAAGTAGCGGATAGGGCTCAAAGTAATCCTGGCATCGACATTCTCAAAGTAGCGACAGAAATGCCAAGTGTACTAACGACATTCATGAAGAGATCTGGCATGATATAGGTCTTTGTGTTCCTGTTGTTCCCATACAAAAGCAGCATAGATCAACATCGTAGGCACAAACCAACTTGCACATTTTGAAAGAGCCCTACCTATTCTGAAAAAAACTGCTCAACAAGCCCTACCGGTTCGTCTCTCACCAGTCTCAAAGTTGCTCGCTGGCTGGTTTAGTTTCCAAGATCTGAGAGTGTCAACCTCTGGACTCTCGCTACCCAAAGTGGATGAGCCAGATTATGCTCATGTATGCTCGATGCCTTCCTGCCGGGCATCAGCAACATATGAAGCACGTTGAAGAGCTGCTTTAGAGCGGCCTTTTGAGCTTAGTGGACTATCCATGTGGGACGCGAGAACAAGTGCCGTCTTGCCCATGGTCGGTCCCTCAGAAGAACCCATGGCTGGACTTGCATATGTGAAACCCCATGACATACAATCATCCAGCCTCGAAGGTAACCTCTTCGCATTGGCACGGAGGAAGAGGCATTATTGCTACTGTGTGTCGCTCTTGCATTGCCTAAACCCTATAGCCCTAAACGCTCAAAACAACAATCGAAGCGTTGCACGCTAATCCTATGAGAAAATCCCTGGACCCCCGTACCATAAACCCTAAACCCCGAATCCCAACTTTTTAGCATGGGCTTGATTGTATGACAGACTTGCAACCGAGCGCAGACTAAACCCAAAATCGGACAAAGACAGTCCCTATCACACAAAGCCTTGGAAAACCCTGTAAGACCCTTATCCAGCCCCATGAAATCCCAAACCCTAACTCTTAAATTCCCACACGAAACAACAGCTGCAAACCGAACAAGTCTTTTGACCGACCAGGGGCTGCAATCCAAAGCTCCTCAACCCTTAACCCCCGAACTCTAAACCCCCTAAATTTAGGGTTTAGGCTTCCTAAACTCTAAACCCCCTAAAATCCTACACTCCAAAATAAACTGGGTGCCTTGTTCTCCTCGAGCATGAGCCTCAGGCCAGTATCATTCGCCTTTCCAAGCGGCTTGCGACCAGCTTTTTTGATCATGAGGATTAGGGGCTAGGGCCTAGATGGGTTTTGGGTTATGTAAGAGATGTATAAGGGATGGTGAAGGGCTTTGGAGTTTCAGGTTTATGGGGCTTGACATTTAAGACAGACCCCAACTCTCCGCAAGATCAGCTAGAAGCTGGGCTGAAGCCCTTGTGTCTTGTTCTAGAACCCTTGTAGTACCCTTTATAGAATGCTGTAAGAATCAGAATATAGCCAGTAATTGAGTGTTCAGCTGGGAATGAACATCCCAAGCGGCCTTGCAGTTGTCGAAGAAGGCAGAATAGGAATCGATGTTGGGCTTGACGCCTCGCAGGTCAATGAACTACTCTCCCGACATCCGGAAATAAAGAGTACATTGTTAGAATAGGGTTTCGGGGTGTATTAAGGTATAGTTATACAAGCACCAAACAAGCTACATTATTTCAGGTGTTGTCGACCGGGGCACATGCATTTTGTATGAAGGGAAACTCTCCTCCAGACTGTTGTGACCTACTGCAATTGCTATCAGTTGCTCATCGACGCAGTCCTGCATTGCGAGAAGGCCAGTCTATTGTTGGGGATTTTTGTAATAAACAGAGTGACAATTAAACTATTCCCCAGATCAGAATTCCCGGGCGAAGAGGAGTTTAGATTGCGGGCCCAGATCCAGCCAAACATTTGAGGTTGGGACCCCGGTGATATTTATATTCATTAAAGAGGTGACAATTGAAATATACGGGGCCGAAATCTCTAGAAATTGCAAGGCACTATTGCAACAATTAATTACTACCATGGCTAATTAATAGTACTACTATTACTACAGACCCCGGACCCGGCCAGAGGATATTGCCACCCCCCCAACCCAACGACCACCCCGAGAGACCCTTCGACAAAATAACCTCCGCATGGGGGCGGGGTGGGGGTGGGGGGTTATGAAAGCACCCCCAACATTAAGCCGAAATTGTGGAAATCAGGTAAAGCATTTTTTGTTTCCTTCCGGGAGTTGCTGTGTCCATCAGCAGGGCATCAGCCCGTCCCATTTTTCCCCATCCCGCGCAGGCTCTTGATCACAGCCCAGCGAGGTGTTCGAGAGTCCAAAGCCAGCCCAAGATCCCGATGTAGACCCTTCAGCCCCGAAAGGCCGACTTGCAAGAGAAGGGTAAAGTACCAAAAACCCTTCTGGACCATGCGCCTTTGTAGACGGAGAGGTCTGAGGACTTTAAGACGAGGTCTTTGTGGCACTTCGCTCCCTCAGCATCCTGGACCGCATGCCTGCATCGGATGGCCGGGCTAGCACTGTAGTGCAAACTGCAAACGTTCCTGTGGTTCCTTAAAGCCTTAAAGGGTACTATAGGGTTCTATATAGGTTTACTTTCCTACTCTGAGGCCGTATAGGGTTATCACTATAGACTTCCCAGAGCACGCCAGAAAATGTTAAACCAACCCGCAGTTCCTCTTCGTACCATTTCAGAAGTATGTGCAAAGCTCTCTGTCACATGTGCCTCGGGTAGAGCATCTGGGAGTGTCCGGCACGATCGGGGTCGCTGAGCAGAGTCACAGTCTGGAACCTTCCAAACGGAGCTTCACGCTCTCACTGTCCAACTCTGCCACTTCGTTTCGGGGCTGCGGCATTTGGTACTCAAGGCCTCTTCACCGAAATTCGCTTTGCACTTGAATAGGTTCTAAGGAAAAGAAGAGTGTAGTATAGAGGGTCCGGGCTTGGAGTTTAGAGTTCAGTGAGCCTAGAGGGCCGGGGCTTGAGGGTGTAAGAAAATTGAGGTTGTAATAATTGGAATAAGGTTTTGGGGTATGTTATACTATACTTATTTTACGGAGCCCCGAAATGCTAAAATAATATTACAGGTAATCATTAAGGCCCCCTGTATTCTTGTATCGGTCTGGCATTTGAGATGTTTCTGGTTTGTGGGACCTGCACCCACGTCCGTTTGCAGCCAGGCAGCGGCTCAAACTTGCCCACCTGAACACACGGACCAGCTTAGTTTAGGTATTAGGACTTAATGTAAGGGCCTTAATAACTAGAATATGATATACCCCCAAACCCCCATTCTAATTATGAAGGCCCCTATATTACGGCTGGGGCCCTACATTCATCAGCCCTTTCATCTCCCAGCCCCTGAGCTGAATATCAAAGCCGTTGCTGCAGCTTAGACCGCTTCCCAGAGAGCCCAATACCCCTTAAATGAGGAATATACCTTAAATTATAGGGGCCTTCATATGATGATTTAAGGTATATATTCCTTGATTAAGGGGTATTGGGCTCTCTGGCTTCCTCTTCTGCCCTCCTCGCTTCCTCTGCCATCATCCTCGGGACCCGGTTTAGACCAAGAACCCTCCCAGAACTCCTTGTGGAGGTGAGGGTTTAGGGTTTCGACTCACACACTCGCAAAGCAGGGTTTAGGGTTTAGGCTGCTCCTGGGGGAGCAGAAGCATCACAGGGTACCCCAGCACTGGCAACCAGTCCACAGCAATTGTCCATCATCATCGTCAACACCCGGAGGACGACTGCACGCATTAAACGACAACTGTAGTGGAACTTCTGTTCCTACGCTAGGGCTCCAACTACTTAAACAGTAGGTCACTAACCATATACTGTGTAACTTAAGTAACCCGGTATTTGGGTAAGGAGCCGTAGTCCCAGATACAATGCGATGCAGCACAAGATCGGGGCAGTTTCAGAGCCGGAAGTTCTGCTTGGCGCTTGCAGCACCGAATATCAGCGGATCGCGTCACCATAGTAAGCCCTGGTATCGCGGCCTCTTTAAACAAGGGGTCCTAGTTCTGTTTTTTGCTACAATAAGGAACCCGGAGGAACTCTACTGCTTAGTATGCATGCTTCGATAGTCGTTCGCCTTTCAGCACGCAGCCCAACTTAACTTGCTCTGAATTTCCAAACTCGAGCCTCCGGTTGGAGGGTTCACAGCCGCTGGGCGTGTGAGTTGCTACGTTTTGTGTGCGATAGCGTAGTAAAGCTGTCTGCAGAAAACATGGACAGTCGGCAGATATGCTACAGAACCAAGTTGCAAGCATGCATGGTGTTGATCATAGTCATGCCATTATGGACTCTTTTATCGGCGACAGGCACTGCGACTGGTTCGCCAACATGTTCTCTTACGTGTCACTCGAACTACATTCCCTGATCTTCATGTTTGATATCTTCCCACGTGTTGAAAAGGCATGCAAGGGGGCCCTGTTGTCGCGGAGTTGTCTGAGATGTTGACTCTCGGATGGGCCGTCTCGAACCATATCCCTGAACGCAGCTGCCGCCTGGTCAGTCTCCTGTAGCGCCACCTTCCCATCGTTGGCACTCTCAACGAAAGAACAATGCCTAGGCAGTGTGGATCCATCACGGGCTTCGGCGATTTAGCTCATCAGAGGCTCTTCAGGACATTTATGAATCTATGAACACCCACAAACCTGAACTTCTAAGCAGTTTCCACTTGATGACAATTACATGCGAATATTCATTGGGCGAGATGCCGAAAAGTGCTCCTTGGAGGTTCCTGAAAACGTTGGTCGATTGAGTAAATCCCACATGTTCCCCTGATCCCCGCCACATCGACCCAGACATTCAAATGCATATCAATAAAGGAACAGGCGACACCTTCGTCAACAAGTAGAGCTGTTGTGTACTTCCGAGTATTACAGCTGCAATCAGATAAGTTATTTGTTGATTCATAGTATGATCGCCTGCTGACCACCCTCCGCTGAACTGACTAATGTGGAACCCTGGACAGAAAGCCTCAACCCCGCCTTCAAGAAAACAAATCAACAAAGGGGTAGAACCCATGCTCTGTGGAAGAGTGAGGAAGTCGCTGATCCTTTCAGCGGGGGGGGGGGGTGAGATAGTTTAGAGCTCAAGCCGCTCGTGCGGATGCCAGTCATAAGAGATCACGACCACATCAAAGTCGTCTCGAATCTGGTTGATGATGGGCACCTCTCAAATTTGGAGTTCGGTCGAGAGCTTCGAGGCCCTAAGTCCCTGGTCGTGAAACCATTGAACCCTAAACCTCAAACCTTAGAAGCCTGAACCCTCCCGCACATAACCCCTGAGCAGGACCTGAGCTCTCACACGAGGTCGAGCCCCCCAAAACCCCAAAAAATCTTCATGCCCCCGTAAGCACAAAGCAAAGGACATGACTAAGCAGCGGTTTTTTTCGAGGAGTAGCGATCCAAAGAAGCACTGCTAGCGAAAGCTCCAATTCATTGAAGCACTCAAGAGCTCCGAATCAAGAAGTCTTGTCCCACTTGCGGTGGGCCCGAGAAGCACGGAAGCTTAACGGTTTAGCATAGGGGCCTTTTATACTTGAAGAATTAGAGCTGTGTTTGTTTTCTTTTGGGGGGAGGGGGGGTGGTTGTAGGGTTGTACAGGGGGACAATGTTACTAGTTATTCATTGGCGCGCGGGGGCTCCTTAGGGGACGTTGGGCTGGGTTTTCAGAGGCCGCGGGTTTGGCTTCCTGGGGTCTGCTGTGCCACGGCACGATCTTCTCCGCTTCGTACTTGTTGGCGAGAGTGCCGTCGATAAAATCATTCCTGGCCACACACGGGGTTGTCTGCTGAGGTGTAGCAAGCTTTCTGAAAGGCTTGAAACTCAGGAGAACCACCTAGCGAGCTATGCGTTTTTTTCTAGGGTCTTGAGCTAAAGCTTCAAAACCTGGAAATCAAACCCCAGCAAGGCTCTGCACATCGATCACGACGAGAGCGGACTTTCTCTGCATCGCCGACCTCGCAAGCGACCAGAGCCAGTGTAGTGTTCAGGATTTTGTTCGAGGTGAAATTACCTCATGAACACCACCCTGCAGAACCCTCCCAAACATGTTTCGATCCTCGCACTCGGCAGCGCGAGGCACGAACACACAACGTGGTCTCAAGCCAACTACAGGCCAGCAGAACCGCCGCCAGGCAAAACACAAAATATTCTGAGCCCCAAACGCCAGCAATAAAACCACCACCATCGATACTCACAGGATGAAAATTTTAAAATGCAAGGCATGTTCAGAGCCATCACTTCGTGCATAAGCCATGAAACCATTTTCTGCACTTTAGCACCAAGAGGTTATTGGTGACCTACTCCGATACGAGGTGGAAAAGACCTCAAGCCAGAGCCTTATAAAATAGAGGCCATAAAGACGGGACTAGGATTTGACAAGAAGACAATACTCTTAATTATGGTAGTATTGCAGGACAATAGCGGGATAATCTTACAAAGCACCCCCAAACTTTAGACTCGCAGGCTAAAGTTAGCCGTTAGCCCCTTAAACCCTCAGCCCTGCATCCTAAACACTACAACTTCAACCCTACAACCCTAAACCCTACCCCTCTCCCAGGCATTTGAAACGTCTCCCAAACAATAAACCCTATAAACCCTTACAAGCCCAAAGCCCAAAGCCCCAGAAGAGCAGGAAAGAGGCTGCTCCGCATCGTAGCAGCGGAGGAAGGCCCGGAGCTCATTCAAGCCGATCGTGCCGTTCCTTGAGGCTAGGAGTTAGGGTTTAGGGTTTAGGGTCTAGGATTCTCACAACTCGCACACATCAGGCCAGCATCTCGAGGCTTTGGGGCTTAATCGGAGGTCTTGGATCGTGGGGTTTCGGGAGTTTTGCCTGCTGCATTGCTGAACGAGTCGCTATAACCCTGCTGCTTCCGGGATTACGGCTTGAGGTTTTGGGGCTTGGGGTGTTGCTCCTCAGGTTTTTACGAGGCGATTTAAGCAGTTTCAGCCTTACCCGACAAGTTGAAGTGCCCAATGGTTTCGTGCTTTGGTTTCGGAGACAGCACTATTCGCATCCAAGTCTTCGGACTCTTTTGGTGAAAGCATGAACTTAAAAAGGAGAGACAAATCGCAGGGCTTGCTGTCTCTGGTGACCATCGAGGGTCCGAAGTTCAGGGGATTTGATTTAAACCACAGGGAATTCCGTAAGTAACTGCTCAGGCCCCTACATTGGTAACTGTGAGAAGAGTGAGGGCGAAAGGCTTGGCGGGAGACCCAGCCACTGCAGCTGCCTCAAAGGTTAGGGAACGGCTTGCATAGGATGTCCGCTGGCTCCCTGCGACCCCCAAAGCTGCGGGGGATTCACAGCGCTTCAAGAGCTATAAGTAGATTAATGTACGTTATTACTATATACTATTAAACTATTGGTATATTTGTACACTTGTATTTTGTTAGTACATTATTACATTGGTATATTATACGTTAGTTTCCCAGGCTCTGATCAGCATCGAACTCCGCCGTCAAAGTGGCAACCTCTTCATCATTGAGCTGCGTTCCTGGCAGGCTCCATTCGGCTCAGCCGGTTTAGGCTTTCGGCGCTCACACTCGGACAGTCCAGGCGAGGCATGTGGCCTCAAGTCGGTTTAGGGCTTAGGGGTTCGAGAGCAATCGGTTCCGGGTCACCGTAGAGAAATACTCGCGATCCCTTTGAGGATTTCAGGTCCCGAGCGACATGTGGTACTCAACACCCAAGATTGCCAGCCCCAGCTGTTTCTATCTGACTGTTTA